TTCGGCCTTGTGATCGTATTCAAATATATTGTTTGTTATTATGTCAAGAGTGTACTAAAATATACTTAGTTGTATGATTGTCTTTATAACTTTTGTAATTCAAAGTCAACATCCTTGTTCATCTTACTCCACTTAATGTTCTTACCATAATCGTAATTAGACTGATATAGAACTTAAGACTGTGTAAGGCTGTCATTATCGAGAGGTTGTCCCTAGAACAACTAGGTTATGAGTGTCCGCGATACCACGAAGGAACTCATTCTCAACAAAATGAGCCACACGAGTTTCTAAACTAGTTTTATAAATTTTCCAAACAATGTAACGAAATATCGCGAAAGAACTCATTTTTAACAAAATCAGCCATGTGAGTTTCTAAACTAATTTCCAAACAATGTAACGAAATATCGCGGTAAAACTCATTTTTGACATAATAGAATCAGCCAAACGAATTTTTAAACTAATTTCATAAATTTTCTAATAAAATTTTGGTTTATGATTACTAGAATTTACATTTGTTTAATTTTAGAACAGAATTTGGTCTTAAAAAACAAGTTGGTAGTTAATTTTGGGGTTGGAGCTCTCTATATATATAACCGAGAGATCGCAGAATTTTCAAGACCAATTTCTCCTTCCTTAACCACCTCTCTCTCTCTCTCTCTCTTTTCTTGTTTTCCCGGTGCTTCGTCGTCGTTAGGTCTTTTCTGTTGACGGAGGCAAATTTCTTCGCTTCTCTTTGTACCGGCGGTAAATGTGGTCTTACCGACGAGAAAACCCTAATTTCAGGGATTAGATAGATTTTTGTAACATATTCGAGCGATGAGCACAGAGAGAGCTCAAGATGGTGATAGGAACGAGGCCGCTTCTTCCTCGAGATGTTCCGAGTCCTACGAGTTTAGCCACGCCGCCGCTAAAGCTGCAGTGGCTCAGGTCTGCGAGAGCGTCGGGTACGAGCATTTCAAGGATCCAGCTCTCGAATCTCTAGCTGGATTCGCACTCCAGTACATTCTTCAGCTAGGTAAAACTGCTACTTCCTTCGCTAATCTAACTGGTAGGAGTCAGTGTAACGTGTTCGATATCATTCTGGCTTTGGATGATTTGACTGATAATGGCGAAGAAGGAATTTCTTCTGAGAGTTGTTCATTAGGGCGTTCGGTTAAACTTAGGGAGATTATCGATTACGTTAATTCGAGTGAAGAAATCCCGTTTTCGCAGCCATTGCCGCGTTTTCCTGTAGCTATAAGTGATAAAAGTAGGAATTTGATCCCAAGCTTTGTTGAAATTGGTGAAACTCCACCAGGAAAACATATTCCTTTGTGGCTACCTGCTTTCCCTGATCCTCATACTTATAAGGAAACACCTATGTGGATCGAAAGGGTATCAGATCCGAGGGGGGATAAGATTGAACAAGCGAGGCAGAGGCGGAAGGCTGAGAGAGCTTTGTTGAGTTTGCAGAGGAAACTTGTTTGTAAACTCTCCTCAAGGAATACTGTGTGGGGAGATTTGGATGGTGTGAAAGAAGAAATGAGAGAAGAAGAGAGTGACTTGCGTTCTGTATCGCCTCCGATATCCGAGGAGAAAGTCGAATCACTGAATAGAGATGGTCTATCAGTGATAGAGGCATTTGCTCCTGCCATGGAGGCTGCCAGAGATGGGTTTTCTAGTGAAGCTCACACTGAATGGAAGAAGAAAAAACCTGTTGCTCTTTCTAAGCTCAGAACTGAGAAGAAATTTCTCGGACAACCGTTGGATCTAAGTCTACAGATGAAGGGTGAAGATAGACCCTTATCCTTTGTGCGTGAGGAGGATAGAGATGACAAAAGAAGGAGAGCGGAGTTCATTTTGAGACAGTGTATGGAGAACCCAGTAGACCTCAATCAGTTGTAAAATAAGTGATTCATTACAGTTTGTGAAGCGTAGTTTTAAAATTGTGATTTGTAACTTTTCTTTACAGGCCTATGTTATGATTATGATTTTGTGACTGAAAGAATGAGAATTTCTAACCTATCTTTTGAGCAATTGATATGTATTTTCTCATGGAGATGCTTGTTACATAACTCTATGTTAGTTCCAGTTTCATGTCCCATTAGTGGGAGCCGGGGACCAGTGTGGAAAGAGTTTAGTCTTGTATCATTACTATATTTCCAAACCAAGTAAAGTGGTCTGAGGTAAGTATATTTTCTTTTGTCGACATGTGTTTTGTTTCATGATGTTTATGTGAAACATATCACTGTATCAGAATCAAGATTAAGTCTCGTGCATGACTCTTGTAACTATCCTAGGGATAGTTCAAGGAAGTGTAGCTTTGCCAGCTCAGTAACAGACCTTATGTCAATTAGTTGAGAGCTGGAGGTTAGAAAGGAAAGCTAGTTTATTGAGTTGGGGCATTGTGGATTAATGTAGGATTTTTGTTTGGGCATTGGGCGAGAGTTGAGAGACTTCTCGCGTTAATCAAGTCTCTTCTATGGTGTACTTCTTTCGTAACGAAAGAGTTTACAAGAACTGAATCCTATCACAGTTCCTTTAACTAACACCCCTAGTTTTCAGATTCCAAACGTATGATTTAGTTTTTAGTATATTAGCCACCACTCTGATAATAGACTCCTGGGAGAACCATCATTTTGATAGTCTCAAATGTGAAAGTCTTGTCTCCCATTGTTTTCAATCATCAGAGAATATAGAAAATGCAACAGTCATCATAAACAGTTTGAGTTATTGGACTTTGATAGTATAAAATTCAGAAAGAATATGCACTATTATTTATTGTCTTTGAGCATTTCATAATTTGAAGCAGGAAGCTAAAGATGAGAGAAACTGGGTGGTTCCTTTTGTGTGTTTCAGGTGCTGCAACTACCAGTATTGGGATGATTAATGATCCTCTGGAGAATTACGGTCCTTGCCTTTATAATTTCTCTGCTACAAATATCAGCCTGAATCCCCAACGCCTCTACATTCTTCTGAAACACCTCAAGCTTCTTCTTTATCACATTGATCCCAATCTTGACTGCATCATGCTCCACCGCGAATTCTGCATTTTTCACCATCCCCCTGATCTTAATATCCAACCGTTCAATCAAATCTCGGATATTATCTAAATCCTTAACCGCCACATATGTCCCCGCCTGCATCGAACTGATCACCCCTTTCTGCCCTTTGATTGCATTCTCATAGTTCTTCCACAGTGAGTCGATCCATTTCCCCATGGATCCCAGTGGCGCCATAGCTGCAGCAAGAGCCGCAGCCACAGGAGGAGCCGCCATAGCTGCAGCCACAACAGAGCAGATGACCATAGTGGCAAACGTAGCCATGAAGATGATGCTGGAGACTTTTCGCCATGTGTGGATGCGCTTGAGCTTCTTGTCGAGCTTTTTTCTTACAAAGCTGAAGCTTCTCGAGCATCAGCATCTGCTGCTTGTAAACAGATTGGAACATCTTAATGAAGTCTTGGTCGAAAGGTCTCTCTGTGTCTTTGAACCTCTTCAGCTCTTCAAGTGTCTTCTTGTATCCGTTTCCATCTGCGAGCCAGAAAAAGATGAGTGTTAAAAGTAAAAACCAGAAAGAAAGAAAGAAAAAAGAGAAGATAATAAAAGTTTGACATTGAATAAGACTCTCTTCTTCAAACTGGTGGAGAGCACCAAGAATCAAAAGGTGACTAACACGAACTCGTTGCAGGCCTCCCTCCAAAGCATTACAGAAGTCAAGCGTCTTCAAGCTAGTCGCAAAGTAATCTTCGACGAGCTCAGACATTTCTTGATTCTTCCATGTCTTTCTTGCAATCCAATATCACTTTCACAACTTCTTGGTTCATGTCCAGTAAACTCTCCGTCACTACTTTCAAGGAATCAAACGAGAGCGCCCGAACCTCAACGCCTGTGGGTAGCGTGCTTATCACGTGACTCGTCCGTGCCTGCATACGCTTATCGAAAGACTGAATCTCCATGTCTTCTTTACATGCAGCCTCGTACGATCTCAGTTCCGTTGTGTAGTTCCTAGCCGATGTCTCCTTTGACTTTCTGCTTGTTTTGTTTCCCATTGTAAGTTTGTAACGCAGTTCCGAGTTCGATTCTGAAGACATGAATAAAACAGATAAACCAATGAAGATTGAGCTCAAGTAGTTCTTATGATAAAAATGCATTTAAAACATATAGAAATGCGTTTATAGATTGAAGAAGAATCTATAGACTAAAACAAAAAGCTTAATTAGGTCGAGATTGAGAGACATGATTAGTGAGAAAAAAAAGATAAACTTGGTTGGGCGTACCAGGAGAGGCAACAAAGACAGGAAAAGAAAACAGATTTGGGAGAGACAAAGAGAAAAAAACTTGTATACATATTTATATAGAGAGAGATGTGTAATTTACATAATATTATAAAGTTAGCTTTTCTCTATTCTGATGTAATATGCATCCACATGACTAATATGTAATTAGTGATTGATTTATACAAATAATATTTAATGAGATTATTATATAATTTTATGCATATAGTGATTAATATATATTAGTTGGTTTTACTTACATAACTATTATATAATTAGTGATTAATTTATACATATATATATATAAGAGTAAAAATAATAATAATTTTTAGATTTAAAAATTAACAAAACTTAAAAGCTATTAATATTTTCTCATATTATTTTTTTAAAAATTAATTTGACATTAAAAATCCATATCTGATAAATTAAAACATTAAAAGCCATTGATATTTCATATTTGCCACAATTTTAAATTTGACAATTTTATTATATTAAATTGACGAATTCAATATAGCTTTAGCTTGGATTAAGAGTGATCGTAGGAGTGACTGATCGATAGTCTCAAATATGAAAAGACTTGGCTCCCATTAATTGTTTCAAGTTTCAATCATCAAAGAATACAGAAAAAGCAACATATATAGACTTGGCTCCCATTAATTGTTTCAAGTTTCAATCATCAAAGAATATAGAAAAAGCAACATAGATGCATCATAAACATTTTCGAGTTATTAAACATTGGATAGTATTAACTCAGAAAGAATCTTTACTATTGTTTATAGAGTCTTCAAGAATTTCATTATTCAAGTGCTGCTACTAGCATTATTAGGATGCTTGATGATCCTCTGAAGAATCACAGTCCTTGCCCTTCTTATATCTCTGCTACACAAATCAGCTTGAGTCCCCAATTCTTCAACATTCTTCTTAAACACCTCAAGTTTCTTCTTTATATCATCAATCCCAATCTTGACTGCGTTATGCTCCACCGCGAACTCCGCACTCTTCACCATCCCCGTGATCTCTATCTCCAACCGTTCGATCAAAACACGGATATTATCCAAATCTTTAACAGCGACAAATGTTCCCGCCTGCATCGAACTGATCACCTCTTTTTGCCCTTTGAGTGCATTCTCATAATTCTTCCACAGCGAGTCAATCCATTTCCCCATTGAGCCTAGCGGCACGGCTGTAGCTGCAGCGAGAGCCGCAGCCACAGGAGGAGCTGCCATGGCAGCAGCCACAACAGAGCAGATGAGCACAGTGGCAAAGGTAGCCACAAAGATGATGCTGGAGAGTTTCCTCCATGTGTGGATGCATTTAAGCTTCTTGTCAAGCTTGTTCTTACGAAGCTGAAGCTTCTCAAGCATCAGCATCTGCTGTTTGTAAACAGATTGGAACATTTTGAAGAAGTCTTCATTAAATGGACTCTCTGCGTCTTTGAAATTCTTTAGCTCTTCAAGTGTCTTCTTGTATCCATTCCCACCTGCCAACCAAAAAAGATGAGTGTTATTGTCAAAAAGGTAATTAATTAGGACACAATAATTCTGAAAAAAAAAACATAAAATCAGGACTAATTTTTGTTTTGTTCATTTTAGGACAAGACAATATGAAACTTTATTTCTCCCATACCTATTTTTTTTTTTTTTTTGGTTCAACCCCCATCCCTAATCAAAACCATGAATATGAGAAAAAAAGAAAAGTGGTCTTACCTTGAACAAGGCTCTCATCTTCAAACTGCTGAAGAGCAACAAGAATCAAAAGATGACTATCACGAGCTCGTCTCAAGCCTTTCTCCAAAGCAGCACAGAAATCAAGTGTCTTCAAGCTATTCTCAAAGTAATCTTCGACGAGCTCAAACATTTCTTGATTCTTCCAAATATCCTTCTTGCAATCCAATATCACTTTCACCACTTCTTGGTTCATCTCCAACAAACATTGCGTCACTTCTTTCAAGGAATCGAACGAGAGCGCTCGAACCTCAACGCCCGTAGCTAGCGTGCTTATCACGTGACTTGTCCGTGCTTTCAAACACGTGTCGAAAGACTGAAGCTCCGTGTCTGCTTTGCACGCGGCCTCGTACGATCTCAGCTCCGTTGTGTAGTGCACGCTCTTAGCCGATGTCTCTTGTGACTTTTTGCTTGTTTGGTTTCCCATTAGAACGTCGTCGTACCGAATTCGATTGATCTGAAGATATGAATAAACCAATGAAGATTGAGCTCAAGTAATAATAACTTTTATGATAGAACTGCGTTTTTCACATAGAAATGTGTACAAGAGAATGAATGAAGAAGAATCTTTATACTAATTAAAACAAAATGGTTCAACTATGAGAGAAGTTTAAAGAGAAATGATTAGCGAGAAAGAGATAAACTTGGTCGAGCTTATCAGGAGAGAGACAACAAAAACTACAGAGAGAATTTTCCGGGAAAAGAAAAAAAAGATTTGGGAGAGAAAAAGGGAAAAAATAATGAATATAAAAGATATAAGATGGGGAAAGAAAGAAGAAGCTTGAAGAGAGTAAGAATGAGAATCGTTAAAGGAAATGGAAAATAGCTTGCACGCATGATGATGATGAGAATTAGGGCTTTGTATAACGCGGGAAGCAAACGTTTACTCTCTATTTAAGCCGCCTTTTGGCCTACGCCAATACTTACATTACAAATCATTTTTTTTCATAATCTACTGTTTTTGTTTTTGTGTGCGTGTCAAATTGATATTAAACGTATTCTATACAATTTGTTTTTGCTTTTGTGTGCGTCACCAGTATGTAACGTATTCACAATTTCCCTCTTTGAAGGGAAAAAAAAACACACACAATCTTTCTATGTATTGACACTACAAACTATTGTTTTCTTCGTTGTTAAAGAACTACAAAATATTGTTTTTTTTTGTTTGTTAAAGACCTAGAAAATATTATTGCATTTACATATATAACTGATAAATGTATTTACTCACTAAACTATATATAATGTAATGGCTAAAATATTACGTACTATTTTAGTTTTTCATGCTTTGGAGTTTGGATTTAAACAATATATAAATAGAATTAGATATGTGATGAGTCATTAACTCATTATCTTATTAGTTATTTGTATTTCTATATATTATACTGACATTGATCTACACGTAGAGTTTAGTAGTATAATTATTCTTCTGATCTTCTCAAACGTGATAATAATCGATACGACGATGTGAACTGAAACGATTAAACTGTATATGGCCCTACCCGAAATTGTATGTGACAATGTGTGTTATTTAAGTTCTTACACGTTAAGTCTCGTATTTAATTGTGTTGACTTGTTTTAATATTAAAAATGCAGCATACAGCCATATATTTTTGTTATCTCTCGCTAGATATTCTCCTTAATTTCTAACAATTTCAAGATTAAAAGCAACGGGGCATCACACAATTAAAATTCATGCATAAATATGTGTATATTATATAGGGCGGCTAATGGCTTGAGTATAAATGTAGATTAAGCAACAAACAAAAAAAACGAGGCACACCAAAGAAAGAAAGAAGTGTGTATTGAATTATTTCTAATCAATAACATGTAGTTGTTGTTATAAAGATACGCACTTTTGCATACGTATGGGATTTTCCAAATAAATGTGTCAGTGTTGGGTAAAAATCGTGATGATATAATTTGTACATGATTAGTGATATGCTGATGTAGTGTGTGCATAATGCAAAACAAGGAGATGATACTATAACTAGGTTACTCGAAATCGATGTGTGAAAGGAATATATAAAAGATTTTGATGGGCGATTAACTGAGTAAATGTGCTAAACAAGCTTCCACCTTTTTTACCAAAAAATTACAAACTTTAATTCAAATAATAATAACTTTGAAGTTTGAAGATCCATTTTCTTCTTCTTTTCCCCTCTTTTATTTCATTTACGTAAAATGAAATAAACATTCCACTAATATTTTAAAATTTCCTTTTGAAAAGTATTCCTCTACTACTATGCAGAGGAATGATTTGAGTAAAGATATTCATTTATTTTCCATATCTCATTAATTCATCTGTAATTCATTGACTCTATATCAACCATTCAACAAAAAGAAGAAGGATACACTAATTGGTGAATCTTACGTTGATAATTAGAGCTTGCTTGAATGAAGTATGATGGTTAAGATTAACTAATAATTAAAAGAGATGAACACATTAATCCATTGTATACCTTAATTAAGCAGTGGCGTTGCGCAGAACTGAAAACCTTAAAGCTTCTCTTCTAAGTTGTATGTATGTATCTCTCTCCGTCTCAAAAGTATCGAAATTGTTTTCCTCAGCTTCTCTTTTTATACTTAACGAGATCTTGCACTACCAGCTTGGAGAACAAGTCTTGGAAACAGCTATCTCTCTTAGACATTGACCAAAATACCCTTAAGCCTTAATCATGCTCTTTTTACTTCTCATTTAGAAAATTGCATAAGCATTTCATGCAGAATTAAATGGAATTATATGAGTTCATCTATGAATATAGTTTGTTGTATGAAGAAAAATTAATAAATGTCTTCTCAGTGTATCACATAAGATAGATCACAGATGTGATAGTGAAACCATTTTATTAATGTTGTGGACAAATATATAACATTTTCTTTTTACTCTTTCCAACATTCATTCTTTCGTCACATTTAAGGAAAAACACAACTACAGTAACCGTAATGGCAATTTAGTAATAATACCAGAAAATTCGGAGTGGGTTGTTTGTTGTTACAAGACACAAACGTGGGACACGCGTCATATGATAATTGGGTTACTGCTCTAAAGTAAGTATTCTCAGGAAAATTGGGAAATTGCCACCAATACGCTACGTCACGTGCTTTTGTAACGCGTTGCCTTGCTTGCTTCCACATGTCACGTGATTTTTTTTTATCTTCCTCGTTCGATCTTTTTCTAAAGCAAATTTGAAATTTCTTCGTTATTACTCCTTATTAGGGTTGATTGATCATAACTAAAAAACTGGCAATGAAATTGAGAATCTTTTATATTTACTTCAAGTGTAATTTCAGTAATACAAATGAAACAATGTGTAAAATGAAACAAAAGAACCTAAGCGTGTTTCTTCTTATGTACATGAAAAAACTATAGCGTCAATTAGCCCAAACCAATTTCCTTGGTTCATCAACCGTGGTTAATCAATCATGTATCCCAGATTCCAGTTTAACATGAGGTTTTAATCGCTGTGCGCTGAGCTTGCGCAGGAACTGTAACGCCTCAGTATACGAAGGATCCGAGCGGCTCAGTGGTTTACATGAATTTATATGGTCTGTTGACTCCAACACCTGTGTGTGTCACATATTCAAGTAAAACCAACAGTTTTGGTGTTTGAAATTATAGTTAAGCCTTTAAAGGGATTTATAAATGGAGATACTTACAACAAGTTCACCAAATCCTGGGTAGGCTGATTCAATTGGCACGATTTCCATCCGAAAAGCCCATCCTCCATAGCCTTCCACTATTGGGGTTACTTTTGTCTGCAATTAGAGGATACGCATTCACCACAGAGTTATTCAAACCGAGTCATGTAATGTTACATTCTAAAGAGACTCGTAAGTGTAATAGAATAAATCCACAACCTCACAGAAACTAAGGACTTCAACAACCCCTTTCTTGTGGAGCTGGCGAAGCAAGTCATTGAGCTCTACTAGTCTTGGAGAACCACTTCGTAGCTCTCCTATCTATCACAATTTATCATCCATAAGGCTCATTAGATACAGATAGATTTGGTGATGGTGTAATGGATTAAGTCAGCTCAATAAAGGAATAGTGTTTACTGACAGATGGAGCTGGGCGTAACACAAGACCCATTCGCCAGGGCATATCTGCTAGCTTGCTGCCAAAATGTGGGCAACTGTAGAATACCTGAAATTGAGGTAAGAGATATTGACATTATTTTCAGATAGCTAATTCGCTAAGTCAAAACTCAAGAAGATAAAGAAATATGATGCTTAAGATAACAGAAAACCAGAAATGTATGAAGCGTTGATACATACAACTCCAGCAGTGTTATTCACTAGTTTATCAAGTTTCTCTTCCTTTGCTTTGTGTAGAATCTGCTTCACGACAAGGCCTCCCATACTGCAACATGAACATTACTTGATCAAAATTTATTTATTGATGTTCCAGGAGACGACATGTAAATTCAATGAAATAATTCACTACTGAGAAAAACACCAAGATGTATAAGCCTTAACAATTAACAAACCAGCCAGTATAAATCACTGATGACACTAGACAGGACAAATAAGTTTGCAAAAGGGAAATATCTATTGTCAGGTAACATACGAGATTTCAGACCTGTGAGTGACAAAAACAACAGGTCGGTCTCCAATGCCTGCCGAGACAAGCTTTTCCAATATCATAGAACTAACTTCCTGAAAATTAGCAAAATTACATCATCAACAAAAGAAACTGCAGGCTAAGTGATAATGAGATGAAGTGTAGAGTACACAAACAGTCTGTAATCAATAATTACTCATTTAACTCTGACCACATTTCCAGGAAAAAACGACAACAATTGTTCAACAAATCCATACTAATGGCAAATAATCCTAAACCTTAGCAGTAGATTTAAAATTATGCCAGTTTAACTGACAAAAACTGTGAGCTCACGGCAAGACCTCTCAAAATATAAATGTGCAGATACAATCCTCCACTCTTTTGTTAATTCCTCTGATCATATATACTGTTGTTAGGTCCTAAAACTACAGCAAGCTTATATCTGAACTAGTGTTTAACATATATTAAGGGTATAACTGTATATGTGTTTTCATTCATAATAGAATTACCGCAGGATACCACTCACAAGAAGAAAAAAAGGGATATAATTTCCTGAAACAATTAATAATAAAGAATGTACCTGAAGAGGCAAGCTAGCTCCAGACCATTCCGTGAGGTTTGTCTGTATCAAATATTTCAACGAGAATCAAAATGGGAACCATCAATGCACCAGGGAACAGATGTGTACACAGCAAATAGATCAAACAAGCAGTTACAAAGATCTGCATAGAGTAGGTATAAGCATGCTTACAAAATAGGCTAAAACTCATACATACCTTGTATTTAAGGGTAAACAAGCGAGCTTGAGGGAAATCATTTGAAAGCCACTCACTCGGCCAAAATGTTCCCAGCTTTCCTGCTTCCTGGTCAATCTTCTCCACCAAGCCAGATTTGGTAGAGGACTTATCCTCAGAAATTCGCCAAGTTTTAAAGGGCCCGCCACGCAAGCCATGAAGAAAGATAACATCAAATTCAGGATCATGTACACGCGAACCACTACAGGAAGGATCCATGGAGCTAGACAGATTGCTAGCATCAACAACATGGTCTCTGTCTGTATCAGCAACATTTGCTGGTTCACCTTCACTTGAGGATTCGTTATTCTTACCACTTTGATGTTCTTTTTCAGGACACTTCCAATGGGGTAGTCCGGGATTAATTAAAAATATCATGTCTCCATAGCGAGGACAGTTACTGTTCATGTTTGAGATGTCTGGCTTGGAACTGCCATCGTTTCCAGATCCACTACCATCTTGCTGATTGCAATATACATTTAACAGAGACGCCCTCGCATAACTTTGTGTCTTAGGGTCGTTGCAACCAGAAATATTTCCTCTTGCACAATCATCAAGCCATTTGCACCAAGTTTCATCAGCTAAAATGATTTTCTGGACTTGCGGAAGAAGCGAAAGAATGGTTAGCAATCTAGCAGCATGCCTTCGGATGTGCGCACTAGCTGGGACTCTGACACTACATGGATCCTGAATATCTGTGATTGAAGATTCACCCAGACTATCTGGAGTTCGCTCTCGAGCCTCTAGGGCTCTGGATGCATCATAAGCTTCTATTGCACCTAGCTTCTCATAATCATCACTTAACAGAAAGCGCCTTAGTAAACAAAGAATACCAAAATCAACTATTTTGTTCTGGCATACAGAATCTTCAGCACAGACATCCGTCAGTGACTTGATTGCCTTAAGGGTTGCCAATGCAGACTCAGCAGCATTAAATTTAGGGGGGCTATCCTTCTTTAAATTCTTAATCGGTACCGCAAAAGGCTCTGAAAGGAGTAGATCTGCCAGTGGAACATTATTGACAGAATCTGGGACTGTACCCAGTTGAGCCATGGCAAGATTAACAACAGCCCCTGCTAACTGGTTGGTTGACTGAGTAGCAGAAGTAACTTTGGACTGATCTACCTGCATGCGAAAGACAATAGCTATTATTATAAATCTAAAACTCAAAGCTGTAACTAAACTAAAATAGACATAATTCTTAACTATCCTCTGTTCAGATAGATACAGAATCAATGACCATAAAATTTTACGCACCTTAGGTTTCTCGTTTTTAGGTAGGCTAGCTCCTTTAGCTGACAACGTCTTACTGTGGTTCAAAATCTCATTCATTATAAGGGTTAACCATCCCTGAGATATAGGGACAGAGTGTGGTCCATAGTCCTCAAAAGTGCGTGAAAGGATTCTTCTTGCTGAAGATTGAACAGTATCAGATGCAACTTTTCCAAGAACCCATGAAAGTAGTATGCCGGACCATTTCTGACTCTCTTCAAGAGATAAATGCATGTCACCAGCACAGAGTAATTCTAGAGCCTTTGACAAACCTTCTTGTACTGCTTTGTGTTTTCTTGTTTTCCTAGCACTATCTCTCATCAGATGAAGACCCTTCTCCATTACCATCTTCTGTGCGTTGTCACTTCTGTCAACAGAAACTAAAAAGGCAGACAACGCAACTTGAGCCAAAGAGATATCCTCAGTTTTACTGGCATGTGAAACAGTGGCAAGCAAACTGGAACTCCAGTCGGAAACAGAATCGCTTAATGGAAGATTGAGATCCTCTAACAACAGCCGAGCCACCAAACTCCCATGCCACTTCACAGTCCTCTCTGGCGCCATTAAAGCTGTCATGACAACTTGCCCATCACGATCGAGTTCTTGAATATGAGATCTATTTGTATCAGAAGCCATTGCCCAGTTTGCCAGCGCCCACGCAGCAAAAGGCACTGCGACATGTTGACAATGTAAATCATCCCAAAGGCCAGGAATGACGGCAGATGACAAATTAGCTTGTGAGGAATTATCATGTTTACTAAGCAATGCAAATGTTTTAGGAGTCCCCTCTCCCGCATTAGCATTAAGGTCACCCAACAGCGCAAGCCCACTGGTTCTTGATAATCCCAGAACTGTGGTTCCTTCCAGGATTTTAATTCCAATTCCCTTAATCCCACTTCTTCCATCGTCACTGTCATCATCTTTATCTGGCTCATCAAAATACATACCACCTTCCTCAATTACTTGAATTGCCGCAGCAATATCTCTCATTGTAGCATTTCCTGGCAATGATGACTTAAAAGGTGTCTTTTCTATAATGTCACAGTTGGAAGTGACGATATCCATTATGGCAGCCACAAGCATGCTCCTACCTTTCAAAGAATCAGAAATATCGAATGAACTACGTCTTGAATGCTGCTCCCAAAGAAAAGCTATATATCAATGGCAAAACACAACCAGAAGCATCGCAGTATCAAGACTCAGATGTATCAAAAAGCTTCTCGTTTGTTAAATGAGATTGAAAAATCTACAACTTGACACATGATAAACAACCCTAGGGATATACAAAACTCATTGTTCTACAACTACTACTTGCTAATCATAGATATGTGCTTTGATTCTTCTAAATCCTAAAAATGCTACCTAGATTCATATCAGCTGGCTAGTCAGTATCCATTACATCTAACCAGACTAATCCATTCAATAACGAGAACAGTTAATAGGCTATAGCATCTACTGCTTTCCCTACGAATTTAATCATTCCAAGCAACTAGTGGAAGCAAAACGCACCTTTTTGTTTTTTGGTTGACACGAGAATATGAACTTCAGTAACTTGGGCACTGCATCGGGCCTTCCCAGAGCGTCTTTCCTGACCGTTGGATCAGCAATAAGATAAGCCAGAGCCCTAGCCGCTTCGTCCTGTGCCCCAATTCTGTCGCCGGGAATGGCCACCGCCTCCAGCAACCAATCAACCACCGCACCACTGCCAGCTCCAACGAGAGCGGCTCTACGAGCAGCATTTGCGGACGCTATATCGGCTAAAAGAGCAGCCACCCGTAGCTCGAATCCCGCACGCACCTCGTGATTAGCTGAAGAGAGCACCGACCTAAGCGACTGCCACAGAACCGAGGCAGCAACACCGGTTTGTCTAGCATGGTGAACCACTCTCCTCAACGAATTACCGGATTTCTGAAAAGCGTCCTCGATAGACTCGTAGATACGTCTGTTTCCGCTAGGGTTACAATCAGATTGGTCATGATCAGAAGGGAAAACAGCGGAATACGCAATTGCGGTGGATAAAGCGGCGGCGGAGAGAACAAAAACGGATTTCTTAGAGAAGGACGAAGAAGGCGAGACGGTGTAAATCGACCGGAGAAGACCTCGTGATTGGTGTGGCGACGGAGAAGGTGTGAGTTTAGGTTTAATAAGATTCAAGGAAGGGCCGGAAGAACCGGTGGTTGGCGGAGAAGAGGAGGAGAAAACTCGAGGAAGACGGTGGAAGAGACGACGGTTACAGGATCGGAGAAGATTGAAACGGAGACGAATCATTCTCTATTTTTTTGCGTCGTTTTCGGAAATAAAATTTGTTTTATTAGAATTAAAGATTTGTATAATTTGGAATATTGGATATGCGATAACGAAGGGAAGATTCTGGCGTTGTCGTGCCCGTAAGAAATAATTGTGACATGGCGGTTTACAGATTTTTGATTTATTACTGTTTTTTATTTGATAATGGATTTAGGTCTAGCCGTCTTATTACACATGACATGGAATGTGTAATAAGAAAACAAAAATTCTATAATTCGTAAGTGAAATATAGTACAAATAGTCCTGGAGCTATGTCATGATGACTAATCATTCATTATTCCGTCAAACTAATGAATATTGTTTTCCATGGTTTTGTTGTTAAGTTTGTATACGAACTTTCCAGTGGACGGTGGTCGAACTAGTTTTGTTTATCGTGAAAGAAATAGTACACAAGTTATAAAGACAATGAAAAAGAAAAGACAATGAAGCCTCTGTATAAGCATCAAAAGGTTCTACATTCCAAACGCAATTTTTTAAAAAAAAATTGCGTTGCATAAACGAATGTGTATTATATTCCTGGAACAAGACTAGTTGACTTAACAATAAGAAACAACAAAAACAAAAAAAGAGCAACAGAATCTGAATATGTAACAAATAATGTAGCTAGAAGTTGAAAGGAAAGGAAATAACAGGGGAAGTGGATTTAAAGTTAGTGTGAAGAAGGGTGGGGAATCGGGTGGATAGAGAACTTCATGTTGTGGTTGCAGCCGTTGTGGTCTCCACTGGCGAAGTAGTAAGTCTGAACCTTACGGAGAAGCAATTTGAAGCCTCTTGATGATGAACCACCTCGTGCCACCAGCTTCTTGCCTCTGGCCACATCGCATCTCCTGAAGCTCTTCATGTCTGGGAGCAAGTAGACGTCGTTCTTCTTCTTGTTGTGGTGCTTTGTCTTGGATTGGGTTTGGTCATTGTTGTTGTACGTGAAAACAAGAACATCGTTGACGTAGAATGGGGCATGCTTTGCAGTCCATTCTGTGTAACCGTATCCGTTTTCCCATACAGTAACCGCAATCTTTCTTCCCACCGATGGAGCCGTGTGGTTGTGTGTAGAACCAATGATGCTTGAGTGGTTTGAGCCCGAGCTGTGACCGTTGTGTGTAGAACCAACGATGCTTGAGTGGTTTGAGCCAGAGTTGTGACCGTTGTGGGTAGGACCAATGATGCTTGAGTGGTTTGAGCCAGAGCTGTGATTCTTGTGTGTAGGACCAACGATGCTTGAGTGGTTTGAGCCAGAGCTGTGATTGTTATGTGTAGAGCCAGTGCCGCTTGAGTGGTTCGAGCCAGAGCTGTGACGGTTGTGTGCAGAGCCAGTGCCGCTTGAATGGTTCGAGCTAGAGCTGTGACCGTTGTGTGTAGAGCCAGTGCCGCTTGAATGGTTTGAGCCAGAGCTGTGACCGTTGTGTGTAGAGCCAGTGCCTCTTGAATGGTTCGAGCCAGAGCTGTGACCGTTGTGTGTAGAACCAGTGCCACTTGAATGGTTTGAGCCAGAGCTGCTTCCCCAACCCCAGTTTGTATCTGTTCCGTCCGAGCTCCATCCCCAACCCCAGCCTGAACCATCCGAGTTGGAGTCTGAACCACCTGAACCCGAGCCAGAAGAACCGCCAGAGTTGCCGGAGCTCCATCCCCAACCCCCGTTCGAACCGGACTGGTCAGAACCCCAACTCCAGCTCCACGCATCAGCACTCCCGGAGAAGACGAACGCAGAAACCATGAGGACTACGAGTAACTTACGTGTCCAAGAGAGACCCATCGCTTCTTTTTCTTCTCTTCTTTTGGTTTATGGTTTTGTGAGCTCTTTAAACTTTAGAGGTTCTCTATTTATAGAGACTAGGATGGGTTAAGAGAGTCGGTTCCCAATTTGGATTGGAGTTGTGAATTTTCATCATGTCGTCTTGAATCAATAGTGAAAAGGATTTCTTTTTTTTTTTTTTTTTTTGGTTGGCTTTTTTTTTTGTTTTGCTTATACTAATCCCTTCATATTCTTTTTTTTTTTTTTTTTAAATTCTTTTATGAATTTAGATAAATCTAGCTTTAGTTATCATTATCATTAATAACGTAGTTTTTGCTTTTAGAATTTGTAAAATTCAAGATTTTAGAAAATCAGTTTCTCAAAAATTAAACTCATTTCCAAAGTACGTAATCGAGACGGATTCTTTTTGATTTATTTTTTCTCAATTCTCAGACTTTGCAGAGTAGGTGTGGCCAATTTTCCTCGACCATGAAACGTCTATGGGTGGAAGAGGTTAGCGTATTCTGTGCATCTCTGTTGGGTTACAATGTGAAATCAAGGTAGATAATATGAAGAACCGATGCATTAGAGAGATTTCAAGTCCTGCAAATGAGCACATAACCGACAAAAGATATCCTCCAGAGGCTTATAAACTACTTGGTTGCATAAAACTTCTTAAACCCTAATTTAACTAATACGTAATCTGATCTTTCAAGCCTTTAAAAGCTCAGCAAAACATAGGCCAATGATTGTCTTCTCTCAGCCAAAATTCATTCAGAGAAAGTGAGGACCAATAAGCTTTGCAATCTCCAAGAACCCAACACGTTCTTTGCCTTCAAATATCTTCTTCAGCTTCTCGTCGCAGATTATATCCCTCTTGTTTTGTGGGTCCTGGGAGAATAAACATTATTCATTTAGCCACGGAGTTCACACAAAAATAGATAGAAGATATACAGTACTATTGACTTAAAAGATGTTTATTTTGTAGAAATTTTAGCACAATGAACACTTGAGAATCTATACAGAACAAGAGTGAGTAGATTACAACATGAGAAAAAGTACAAGCTAACGTCTTAAGGTGAAGTAAAGCAAACCCCAGCATCGACAAGTCTAGTTTTGTTTCCTTTAGACAGAGCACAAAGAGTCATTACACAGGGTCTAGGTATAATCCCAAATGCAAAAGTAACACATTGGTCAAGTAGAATGATCAAAGAACATCAAAAGTCCTTACCAAAACATGTCAACCAAAGTTTATAATCACAGCAATGATCAAATAATTTGAAGCAATTAACCAGTCATATCAAAAGAAGTTGAAACCCCCAAATTCAATCTCACAAACCTTCAAAAGTTTATCATAACAAACATGAAGAAAACAAATACAGTAATACAGAGACTAATCACAAGAACCTGTTGCAGATGCCCAAACTAAACAGTAAAGAAATTCCACAAGATTTCAACTGTACATAACAAGACACCACAAGAAAACCTTATCCATTTCTTAGAAACACTCCATCTAAACACACAAGCAATTCAAACAAGCCACTTTAGTTTTGTCTACCAAAACCTCTGAAACACCGAAAACCCAAAATCCTTACCCTAAAGAGAAATCACCACAAGGGACTGAAAATTTTCCCAAAATCAAAACCACTTAAAGCATTTCAGAGAGAGTAAAAGTGAGAGAGAGCACTTGAAGGTCGTGTTCCTTGATGTAAGCCCAAATGCGTTTGAGAGCTTGAGTGCGTGGGATTTCGGGAACGCCGACGACATCCTGCATCTCCGGGGACACTGGACGAGGCTTCATGATGCCACGTGGCTCCCTGGTCTTGGTCGTGGTTGTCGGGTCGGAGGAAGCCGCCGTCGCGGATGTTACAGCTCGAACCATTCGCAGGTTAGCCGGACGATGAGGGGACAAACGGAGCGAAGAGGGAGACAACAGTGAGCTGCGGAACGGCGCCGTATCGACGCAGAGAAAGGTCGTAGAGAAGATTCCAGAAGAAAGAGCCATTGTCGTCGTGACTGTGAGTGGATTTGGGAAGACGAGAGAGGTTTTGTGTTATCCTTTATGTTTCTTCTCAAGTTTTGCTTATATAATAATAGTCTAAATTCGTGGTTCGACCTAAACTATTATTTTTATTTATTAACGAGAAAATTACATTTCAATTTATTATTATTTCTTACATCATATTTAATTTTTATATTGATCGTATTCTACTAATACATAAATACAACAATCAATATGCCTTCTACCAAATCATACAGTTTCCAAAGAGAGTCTCTCATTTGGTTTTAATCATCAGCCTCCCATGCTATTTGAGGGGTAAGAACGTAGACCATGAGATTGTTCTTCTGTAGAATCTCTTGACGCTAACAAATTCACCTGCAACAACATTTTTGTCATCATCAGTTCTGAGAATTGGGAACTTTATTCCATACAACAGACGCAGTGTTTTCAATAATGAAATGTACCTTGACTATTTCAGACACTGAGCTTGACCGTGTGTAAGCAGCTAAAACACTCATGTTAAAATCCTGCAAGAGATGAGCAATGCACAAGTTTTAAAAATGCCATCAAACTTTCTTATAAATGGAAATTCGATTGGTTGTCAACTTACCCTGAAGGGGTCACCGCGTAGAGACTGAACAAACATCATGGAAAAGTCCGAGCCGTTTCCCTGCAATGCCAAACCGAATCACATAGAGTAAGGTCATATACTCTCTACACGTAGCAGCTCACATTCATACCGTTGATACATTATACGATTGTTTCTTTGCGTTTCCATGTTATACTGCTTAGGAGAAACAGTTTACCTCTAGAGTTACATCCCTAAGGCGCCTTCCAGTTTGAGCACAACAAACACGGATCACATTTTCATCGCAGCTTCCACTGATGATGTAGTCATTACCATTCATGTAGTATGATCGGGTATAGTTCATCGAGCTTACTCTTGGGACTATCTCAAAGTTCAGATGAAGCCTTCCATCAACTGTCAAAAGCTGCCTCACCTGGGAAAATGGTCAATCGATTGTTAACAAGAACGCCAAATATATTGAAAAGGCCAATATGATGTCTTTTTTTTGACGTTTACATGCAAAAAGCTTCATAAGTAAATCTAAATGGTCCATCAGAGTACCTCATTGTCCACGGCTGATGCTAGAAGATATCGATCATCTGGAGAAAAGCAAACCATCACATTTCCTTTGGTACTAGAAGCGGTGTAGCATGGTCGGGATGGCTCTTGTCTCAAATCCCATAGCTTAACATCTTTATCGAAAGAAGAAGTCGCAAAAAGGAACGGGGAATGGTTCGAAAATTTCACCACGTTAATATGCTCTTGATGCATATTAGCAAAAACCTGTAGGCATGTTCCCCTACCAATGTCATACAAAGCAACATCCCTCGAGTATCCGCTAGCAAGAAATAGTTGGTCCGTCGAATTAGCATGAACCGAAGTTAATTGGTCAAACTCATCAAAAGTGACAGAACCAGAAGAAGTGGCATGACTGCTAGTAGTAACCGTTGATGACGCTTTTTGGATGTCGTACAGCTTCAAAGAGCCATTGGCAGAGCCAGCTATAACCTGAAAAAGAAAACATTTTGAGATAATTTTGCTAGGCAACAACGAACATAACCGAAAGAAACAAAGGGAGCCGAAAAATTGCAATCCTACCATAGATGGATACATCTTGAGCCAGCAAAGTCCCAAGATGGTACTTTGAGATCCATGAGATGGGATGTAACGGACAATTTTCCCACTTTCGTGATTGAGAACAACTACCTCGCCATCCAAAGTCCCAAATACCATAAGGCTAGGATCTAGTGGATGGTACTCAAACTGCCTTGGACTTAATCTACTATTATCATCTTCCTGATGAATCCTACTACTCAAAAAAGGAAGTGAATGCAAGAGAGGCGAAGCAGACGATCCCATTTTAGCTGCACAAAGCGATCTTTTATAGGAATTCTGAGATATCCCTTTGCTTGATCTTGTTTCCCGCTTCTCAAGGACTCTAACTACACTTTCCTTCTTTCTCTTGTATGGTAAGTCCTCAAAGTTTGCAGAATATGTTTCAAAGGCCCTGTCTCTATCACTCTTTCTTATAGCCAAATTGTCCAACACTTGTAATTTGGGCAGAGAGTTTATCATGTACATCCTATAATGCTTTTCAGAACATATCGGTGATGCTTTAGAGGAAATATATTTCAACCCAACATTCCCAAATTGCCTTGTGAATGATTCAACGGGTGAAACATCTTTGGGTCGGTACGGCATTTTCCCTCTCCTAACCTGCCAAAATGGTATAAATAAGCTTTAACCATCTCAGTGTTTTGTCTCATTGGTTGACTTACAAACAAGAAAAATTGGTTGTGTTCTTTACCTTCTCCCTCGTGAGTACTTCTCCATTCAACTCTGAAGACACGGAGATACGTGAATCCAAATCATCTTGCTCAGGAATTTTATACGAGAAATCCATACTATGAAGAGTCTCTTCAACAGGTAAACTAAGATCCATCTGTTCAACAACGTCCCAAATATCTTCTTCAACGGGAGGGTCTGATTCAATAAATGTGTTTTTATCATCCCCGGTAGATGATGATGATGGCGATGACTGTGATTTTGGTGGGCTAGAATCACTGCAAGAGATCCAAATTTGAAACCGGAGCTCCTTGAGAGAAGGGAGTTTCAAGAGAGCAGCAGCTGATGTCCAAAGATCTGACACTAGAGTGTCACACATCGAAAGATATGTCAATTTGGGCATGCAAGAAAAACAGTCTTCCCCAAAACCAACTATACGGTTCTTATCGAGTATAAGGGTGTGCAGCTGTGTGAACTCTCCTACGATGTTAAGCTTATGGAAATGCATAGACCTCACATTAAAAACTTTGCAGCTCAAACCTTGAAAGAAAACGTCCCTGAAAGTAAATCCAATCAAGAAAATGAAAATGGAAAGCCTCAGAAATAATGCATAAAAAGAAAGACACAAAAAACCATTGCTTACCGCCAGAAGTTTTTCCCGAAAGAGTCATGTAGATGAACAACTCGGAGTTTTTGATTGACAGAACGAATTAAGGACAATGCATAATGATCTTCTAAAGAACAAGAGGATCTCACAAAGAGATCTATTCCTTGTACCTCAGATGTGTTGATCTCATTGCATAACTCGAGAAGCGGGTGATAGTCATCGTACTTCACTCTATCCACATAAAGGTTCATGATACATCTTTGATTCCTTGACTTTTTAACCTCCGCCTGAAACTCGGTTGATCAGGATCAATTATAGTTTATACCCAGACTAACACTAAGATTAAGCTAAACAGAAGTAATAAGCAGATCTTCTGGACAAGGAAAAAGTAACCAAACCTCAAAGAAAGCAGATAAAACGGCAGTGTTGGGTAGGATTCCATGCTTCTTGCATAATTCAATATACCTAAAACCAAAGATAATCCCATTAACCTGAATACTAGTAGAGAAATCACTTAGCACATTATAACTAAATATAACCCAGAATTTAACAACATAATCCACCCTGAAACAGGAAAAAAAAAACATTCACTTGACAAAAACATGCCTTCCTTGATTTTTTAGTGCAAAAGCTATAGGACAGAAACAAAAACCAATCCTTAATCAAAGGAAGATGCAGAAATTCAGACAAATTCTCACGAAGAACACCAACAAAAAAAACACAGAATCGAAACACAACCTAGATTTACTGATATCGTTCCTCTAAACTCATCATCAATTTCAAGAAAAGGTGTCACAAAGTTTCAGTCTTTCAGACAAAACCCAATCCTACGACCACATCTCAACTTTTTCTGTCTTAATTTCAAAAGAGTAGATAAGATACACAAAAAAAAAAAAAAAAAAAAAGGTGAAAAGAAAAAACTCACTTCTCCTCAAGGGTTGCTATTTCAGTGAGCGTAGCCATTCAATCACAGCTTAAGATTAAACGCCGACTACTTTCCTTTTTTCCCCGATGTTATCAGAAAAGTTTTCCATGCGAAGCAGTTTCCGAGCTTATCAAAGACTTTACACCAAAACCCGCCACCTGTTTTAGAAGCTTTTACAATTTCGTGTGTTTCCTTTTAAAAAATCTACAAATAAATGAGTAGTGCACATAAATTAGTTTTGACCTAAACGGGTCCAACTTTAAAAATTAAAAAGATAAAAGGGTCTAATTCTATCAGATTCACACTGACCCACACACGCGTTAATACACGTAATACAATTTCTGTTACATACTTAGATCAGTGTGTCTCAATATTCTACTACGCTAATGAAATATATGAACATATTTCCATGCTTTACCACTTGAATCGTTAATAGTGGCAATGAGATACTCCCAAAATCTCAAAATATTGATCTATTGACGACGAAAGTTTGTTCATGAGGTGTAATCTTGTAAATTAGTTGTGAAATTGTAATACAAATAAATTGATTCATCTTTTGATGATTTAAATGTATATTGACCAACCTTCTTCTAGGTTGCCCAAAAAAAGGGAAAGGATAATTGACCTTGAGAAACAAGTGGGCTAGTAGTGGTTACGAAGTCAGGTTTCGAACCTGGTCTAGGTCCTTTACAGGTTAATTAATTAGCCACTGTGCTAATAATGAAAAATGAAACAACATTGAATATTGACCTTTTCGTAAAGCTGTGTTCCAGCTATATTACCTTATTATGAATCTGGAAAAGAAAATTCAATAAAGATATCTCCATTTTATTACTTTTGTATTTTTTATTTTTATTTTGTCATCTAGATTTATTATTAATTGCAAATTATGAGAACTGTTACATAAACGATTCTACAACTGACAATTCCTTCCGACCCTTATTAGATCTACGACTACGACAGACTACAGACAATTCCTTCCGACCCTTATTAGATCTACGACAGACTACAGACAATTCCTTCCGACCCTTATTAGATCTACGACAGACTACACTTTCTTCTTCATAATCTTGATGAATACCTTCAATGATCCACGACCTGGCGACACTTCTTTCTCTGCGTAGAATCCTGGCAAACGGCTATAATTGTACATCGCTGGAGATCTCCTGCACACTTGCCTCTATTAATCTGCAAATTTGTTAATAAATCGTAATATCTAGGACTCGAACCTCAAACCTCTTGATGTAGAAGCATTAATCAACCCTTGGTTAACCAATGGACCAATACTTTTGTATTTTGGTAAAAAAAAATTCCAAACTATTGCATTATACAAATATATTATCAATAATAAATTTATATAATTTAATGTGACCTTAACAAATATTATGATCAATGAACTAAAGTGACTGTGCAGCCCAAACTAAAATAAAACTAGGCCCACGTACAAACTTTAAGCCCACCAAAAGTCAAATGTCTTGGATAGTCCGGTTGGTCACAAAACTGACAATCGGCGGAGGAGAAAAGGTAGTGCCAAATATTAGCCGGCGATTCAGATGGAGACGGTGGTCGATAAAGAGATTCTTAAGTCTTCCGGGGCTGAGCTCCTTCCCGACGGACGTCGTGGTTTGCGCATCCATGACTGGGAGATCGAAACCCTCCGTGGCACGATTCTCACTTCTCTCGCTGTCGAAGAGTACTTAATCTCTCTATCTCTCTCACCCTATGTCTCCATAAGATACGATCATACACGAATTTGTTGGTGTCTGTGCACTGTTTTTGATTACTTTTAGGCGATACTTGTGTTTAAGTTTTTATATTTGATTCAGTCTGATTGAGAACTGAGTAGTGTAGTCTGGGGTTTTGAGCTCATTTACACCTTATTAGTGGATTCGTATCGAAGAAAATTAGAAATGTGTTCTTGATTTTGTGTTTGCTCTAGGCTTTGGTCGAGTGTATGATTTATTCTGTGAAAAATCGAAATCGTGTTTGCTTTGGTTTAGTTTTTGTAGTTACTGCTTTTTGTTGTTCTGATCTCTGCTCATCACATTTCTTGGTATAGTTCTATGTTTGTCTCAATTATGTAAAAATCATCTTCTGAGATTCACAAGTTTTTTTAATATCATCAATTACGAATGTGATGTTTGATTGTAACACAGGTGGGAAGAAAAGCTTAAGACATCTCACTTACCTGAAATGGTTTTTGGTGAGAATGCATTAGTCCTAAAACACTTAAGTAGCAACACTAAGATTCATTTTAATGCGTTTGATGCACTAGCGGGTTGGAAGCAGGAAGGGCTTCCACCTGTTGAAGTTCCTGCTGCGGCACAATGGAAATTCAGGAGGTAGGTTAGGATTTGATTCACAAATATATCACAAAAGATATTTTTCTTTTAAGTAGGGAAATTCTGCTTGTACATAGTTGTGTCTGATACCACTCTGATCTACTTGCAGCAAGCCGTCCCAGCAGGTGATACTAGATTATGATTACACGTTTACAACGCCATACTGTGGAAGTGAAGTAGTTGAGAAAGACAATGAAGCGGTTCGCCTTGCTCTCACTTTCACTCTTTTTCTGTCTGTTACACCATAATCAATCAAGTGTAACTTTCATGCTCATTGATATATGCTTTATTACTGTGAAGCAGGTTGAGGCAAAAGCTAATCCGAAGGGGGAAGCTACTCTTCAGTGGGATAACTGTGAAGATCAGATTGATTTGGCTGCTCTCTCACTTAAAGAACCTATTCTCTTCTATGATGAGGTTGGTCACCCGATCGATACTAACACAAAACACATGTTTCTGCGCTCTTTGATGAACTTATTCTCTACTTCTTCAGGTAGTTTTGTATGAAGACGAGCTGGCTGACAATGGAGTGTCACTACTGACTGTTAAAGTGGTAAAGATCGAATTTTCGAGTCTGTTTTTCCAATCACATTCTTTCACAATTATGTGAATTTGAATGAGTTCAGTATTAGATACAAGGGATAAGCTCTGCGTGTGTTTCTGTTTGTGTTTTTCAGAGAGTCATGCCAAGCTCATGGTTCCTCCTCTTACGATTTTGGGTGAGTCAATCAGGAAAGTCCATAGTCAGAAAATAAAGTCATTACGCAAGAATATGTGATCTTCATTGACTGTTATGATGTTTCGATTTTCATCTTCCACTCGGTTGCTTTTTTATAGCTTAGAGTTGATGGTGTGCTTATGAGATTGAGAGAGACTAGAATGCATTATACGTTTGGCAAAGATGAGACACCAACTGTTCTTCGTGAAAACTGTTGGAGAGAAGCTACATTCCAGTCTCTATCTGCGGTTAGTTTTCTTCACTTGTAGGACAGATTACTAGATATTGTTTCCATTTGCAATCTTTTTTCTTATTAAAATCCATCTCTTTCCATCAAACCTAGAACGGCATATCCTATACATCATCAAAGAACCACAATCTTTTTGTTACAAGACGATAACATATTGCAATGATTCTTTGGGTAGTGAATACAGAAGGTTTCGTGATTTAACTCTTGAATATGTATATATGCAGAAAGGGTATCCAGTTGACTTAGCAGTCTGGAGCGACCCGAGCTCCATCAGTCAGAGGCTTCCAGTGATTAAGCATACGACACAGAAACTGAAGATCCCTCGAAAAGTTTAAGCTGTTTATAAAGTTGCAAGTTAAATCCAAAAGAACGGACCGATGAGCTTTCTATTCAGTCAAAATACTTACTATTGAATTTGTTAATGTAAGGAGTTACTCCAGTTACTTATTGTGGTGGTTTCATATGAACACTGAAACGCTCTTCCTCTTCATGTTCTTCTTACACTCTTATTGCCATACCTCGTTCCCACCATAATTCCCCTCATTGTTGAAAGTCTATGATTAATGTATTCACAATAACGCAATGACTCGTATACATAAGTTCAAATGTTCAAAAGCCTGATGCCAATTATCGCACATTGGAAGAGACGGTGACTCTCGAACTCTTTTCACTATAAGAAAGTTTTCTTTAAATTCCTTTGAGTAAACCCGAAGAGAGTGAGTAACATTATAAATACAAAGATGAAACAATGGTTCTTGAAGAATATGCTGAAAGAAAAGCTGAATCTACCCTCAAGTATTCAAAGCCACTGGGCTAAACAACAAGAAATATGAAGAGAAATCCAGATTCTAAAACTGGAAATTGTCAAAAGTGAAGGAAGATAGAAATAATGTAATTTAGTTTTTGGTTCCTAATGGAACACAAAACAACCAATGAGTTCTTCTTGGTACACCCCTTTTCTCAAGTCTCCAACTGCTTCAAGATAACTGATGCATCCCACTTTGTGCATTCAAGTACCTGCCATCATCAAGTCACAGGCAAAGCTTTGAGAATCAGATCTTCGGACCAAACTTATAACAGCCATTCAAAACATCAATATGCTAATACAAATCCATATATTATACAACAAATGATTGGATGTCATGAACAAATGACATCTTCTCTTTTCAAAAGGTACCCAAGATTGCTTATGACCATTACTATATTGAACTAAAAGGCAGGTTTGCCAATTTCTCACTGCATTATATCAGAACAAAAACCCATATCTTTAGTTTGACGAGCATGGTGATAAATGAACACGATGTTAGACCTAGGGTTAAAGCTTTACAGTATTGTTTGATTGCATTCATGAAGAGAAATATAGGGTCTAAATTTTTTTAGTTCCTAAACATAAACACACAAAAAACAAAAAGGACAAGAAACCTACAAAGCAGTAGCACCTCTCTTGCCAGCGACTGAAAATCCACTTCCATCACCCATCTTTTCCATTCCCTATCAATAATCCCAAGCCCAATTTGTTCTTAACACCAAAATTGATTTACAGAGAACAAAAGGACAGACCAAATCCATTTTCATTCTACTTCAACACGAAAACAATTGTTCCAAGTAGAGAGACATTAAACAAGAAACTCAAAAGCTTTAAACTTGGTCATTCGAATGAAATCCTAAGAGCAGTAACACTCACAAATGGAGAGTAATTAGCGATCTTGACAAGTGCGTGGGAAGGTACCGTTAGAGAGTTCGCAGAAAGCTCGCAGATTAACATTAAGGTGAGATGTGAGTCGAGCTGCAGCCACAACATTGTACAGAGGCAAGAAAGACTCTGTGCATCCAAGCTCTCCCAAATTCCTGTACACGATTAGAAAACATGGTTTTTTTTTTGGTCAATGCTATATAACAACACAAGAATCATAATCTCAATAATCAAACATTTTCAATTCTTATCAACGGGAATTAGGGATTTACAAAAAGAAAATTTCTACCAAAATTTGTTCAAACACAAGCAAATCATGTCATTTCAAATAAAATCTCCATTGTCTACGAAACTTGTTCAAGAGGTTAAAATTTTAGAAATGGTGAAACCTGGGATTAGTGAAAGAGGCAAATCGGCGGCGGGGCAAAGAGGATTGGGGAGGACGGAGGCGGGGAAGCGTTGCCGGCGGAGATCGGAGAGACGGAGCTCTAGCAGTAGCGGAGACGAAAGAGCGGGCTGCACTGCGCCATGCCATTTTTTAACCTACTTGAAGCAGAAAGAAACAACAAAGCAAATCAGATCAATATCGAAGAAGATGATGAAAGAAGAGAGAGACTACTAAAACTCAGTAAGCCCTAAACGAGAGAGAGACTCGGTTTGGTTTGGTTCGGTTTATTATTTTCGATTTAAATCGATCAATTGAATAAAATTAATTAGTTTGGTTTCTGGTATAGATTTGGTTTGTCATTTTCTCTTTCGTACTAAAAAAATAAAAGGGTTACATGTGGATTTTCGAATTTGGAGCCCTAATTTCTTGAACGATGACGATGATATCCGATCTTCCAGAGGAATTGGTAGTGGAGATACTTTCTCGGGTTCCATTGACATCTCTGAGCGCAGCGAGATCTACAGTAAAACGATGGAACGCTTTATCGAAAGATAGATTAGTTTGCAAAGGAGAGGCAAGACAGCAATTTCTAGGGTTCATGGTGATGGATATGAGGGTTTGTTCAGTGAGATTCGATCTCCTAAACGCTCCATCTATAAGGCAAATAGGTAAACTCGATCAATTTCAGATATCTGATGTGTTTCATTGCAACGGTCTAGTGTTATGCGTGATGGATAACTACTCGAGGCTTGTGGTTTGGAACCCGTATCTAGGGCAAACCAAATTGATCGAATCCGGGACTGCTCATTTTCGAAGCTGTTATTATAGTCTCGGCTGTGATTCTTGCGGTAGCCACAAGATTTTGAGGTTTTTTAATGACTCTGTCCAAGGTTCAGGCCGACGAGTTCTCAAGTATGAAATCTATGATGTTAATTCTTCTTCTAACTCATGGAGGGTTCTTCATGTCACTCCCGATTGGTATATAAGTTCTGATCATAAGCGAGGCGTTTCTTTAAAGGGAAATACTTACTGGATTGCTATAGATAGTAGAAGAAACGAGGAAGAAGACCAACTAGAGGAAGACCAAATAGTGTTGTATGATTTCTTACTCTGTTTTGATTTCACAAAAGAGAGATTTGGACCGCGTCTGCAACTGCCGTTTAACGATTTTTTTGAGGTTACCAGTTCTCTATGTTGTGTAAGAGAAGAGCAACTCGCGCTCATGTTTCAGCACTCGGGTTTTTACAAGATGGAGATATGGATGACGACTAAGATTGAGCCCCAAGAGGTGTCATGGAGCAAGTTCTTCGCATTTGATATGACTCCATACGCTGGACTTAATTGTGCCCTTCGACATGGGAGTTTCTTTATTGACATGGAGAAGAAAGTCGCTGTGCTTTTTGATCTAACCATCTTTAGAGACTCCACAAGTCCAAGACGCGACATTGCCTACATCATTGGAGAAGATGGATACTACATGGAAGTGGATCTCGGAAAATCTGAATGCGATCATTGTCGCCCAGTTGCCTGCTCCTACGTTCCAAGTTTAGTGCAAATCGAGTGAGTGAACTGCATAAGAAGAAGAAGGGTCAACTATTCCACTTACATATTCTATCTTGTTTCTTTCTTGCTTCTGCTTTTTTTTTTCTCTTTCCTTTTTGCAATGTGCTTTGAACAAGGCTAGTCAATTTTTACAAATAAGTTGAATGTGACAATTTCTCATATACTTCATATTAATGGTGCTATTGGAGTTCGGATATCTTCTAGAATAACTAGTCATGGTTTGGCCTGTAACATAGATGCTGATTTGAAGTCCTTTGAGCACATTGTGCCGTGTGGGATTGCTGATAAAGAAGAGAGACAGACACTCTGCTTCTCAGAAGAAGTGATTCATGAACAGTTGGTTTCTTGTTTAGCCAAAGCTTTTTCTTATGATGATGTTGTGTGGAAGGAAGATCCTTCAGTCATTTTGGACACCCAAGATAACGAATAATCTGGTTTTGATTTTTTCTTGTCTATCAAAAATGTTTACAGGATAAAAGCTCTATTCAATTGGTTTCGGAAAAGTGAGCATGTAAAAACGTTTATTTTTCTTTTGAATGTAATTTAACATTAAATTCAAAAAAAAAATGTTTATTATTATTTCACGTGATATGGATTCTGATATTATCTTATTCATTCTCAATTTTTTTTTATTAAAATCGGTTGTTTACAATCTCTAATAGTCGATTTCTATGATCATTTGACCATCTACGTACGGTAATCAGTTTTTGAATCTCTAATTAACTACAACAAACGCAAGTCACCTCAATTCAGCTCAAGGCAGTAAAAAATATATGATTGTTTGTTAACGGTCACTTTTTATTATCGATGTAAACAATTTCCTTTTTCTTATAAAATGGAAATTTCTTTTTATTTGAACAACTTAACCTTACCTTTCCTCTTTTTTTTTTTCCGTTGGCAACCTTTATATAACAAATTAGCTTCTTTGAGAAATCATAATTCCTCTTTCTTCGAAAACAAAAATCCACCTTCTTCTTCTTTTGTCTTTCTCTGTTTCTTCTTGATCAAGTTCTGTTCCTCTCTTACAAAGAGAACTCACGGATCACGAGAACGTCAAAGCTCGATGATCACCATCTGCTACAATACCGTCGGAACTGTAACTCATGTTTGATCACACCATCAAAGATCTCGCCACCGTTCCTATCCTCTGTCTCTCTGTTTTTTTGCGTTTCACGATCTCTGGAAATCATGGAGGATCTCACCGAGGGTCAGAGGTAGTGACGCAAACCATGGATGATGCATCATATGCGCCGTTGTCACGAGAGCCAGGTTTGTTGCTTCTCGCTTAGTTTCCTATTTGATATCTTGGAACCTTGGATTTTTAATTCTTAACGTAACTTGCTGCACAAAAAAAGGTCTCTTTGAGTTAGGTCAATCAATATTTAGTTTTCTAAACGCAATTTTGTCGGAGGAACTAGGGTTTGCTCTTGTAGTAGTTTTACGAAATTGACCTAACCTATAGTTTGTCTTGTCTGTTATCAGTTATCACTTTCTTTCATAATTAATTAATTAATTAACCTTTAGTTTTCTTCTTCTTATTGTAGGTTCCTATTCTTGATTCGCCAAATCAGTGGGTACAGCCGCAAGACTGTTTGATTTCTCTGGAATGATAGACAACACATTTTGCTATTGCGTGGTAACGAATTTCTATCCTCTTTTTCTTTTTCTTTCTTACAAATTAATAATTTTGGTAGTAAAATGTTTTTTTTTTTTTTTTTGATGGTCGGATTTTTCAAAAGCTTTTTTGTTTTTATACTAAATTTACATAATTATATGAAAACTAACCGGATTTTGGATCCAGCATTATAGTCGTTAGCGATTCCAAACATTCAACTTGTTTTTCCTATTATTATGTAGATTTAGCATTCAAGTTTTTTAATTTGGATTTTTAAAAATAGTTTTTAAAATTTTGGTTTTGTTTTTTTCGGATTTTTAAAAGATTTTTTTCTTATGTTTGTTTTTTTAATTTTTTTGTTTGATACTAAATTTACATAATGATATGAAAGCTAACCGGATTTTGGATCCAGCATTATAGTCGTTAGCGATTCCAAACATTCAACTTGTTTTTCCTATTATTATGTAGATTTAGCATTCAAGTTTTTTAATTTGGATTTTTAAAAATAGTTTTTAAAATTTTGGTTTTGTTTTTTTTCGGATTTTTAAAAGATTTTTTTCTTATGTTTGTTTTTTTAATTTTTTTGTTTGACACTAAATTTACATAATGATATGAAAGCTAACCGGATTTTGGATCCAGCATTATAGTCGTTAGCGATTCCAAACATTCAACTTGTTTTTCCTATTATTATGTAGATTTAGCATTCAAGTTTTTTAATTTGGATTTTTAAAAATAGTTTTTAAAATTTTGGTTTTGTTTTTTTTCGGATTTTTAAAAGATTTTTTTCTTATGTTTGTTTTTTTAATTTTTTTGTTTGATACTAAATTTACATAATGATATGAAAGCTAACCGGATTTTGGATCCAGCATTATAGTCGTTAGCGATTCCAAACATTCAACTTGTTTTTCCTATTATTATGTAGATTTAGCATTCAAGTTTTTTAATTTGGATTTTTAAAAATAGTTTTTAAAATTTTGGTTTTGTTTTTTTTCGGATTTTTAAAAGATTTTTTTCTTATGTTTGTTTTTTTAATTTTTTTGTTTGATACTAAATTTACATAATGATATGAAAGCTAACCGGATTTTGGATCCAGCATTATAGTCGTTAGCGATTCCAAACATTCAACTTGCTTTTCCTATTATTATGTAGATTTAGCATTCAATTTTTTAATTCGGATTTTTAAAGATACTTTCTAAATTTTTGATTTTGTTTCTTTTCGGATTTTTTAAAACTTTTTTCTTGTGTTTGTTTTTTTTTAAAAAATTTTCGTTTGGTACTAAATTTTTTCAAAGTAGTAGCTGTCGTATTCCAGAAGGAAGGTCATAATGATATGAAAACTAACCGGATTTTGGATTCATCATTAGTCGTTAGCAATTCCAAACATTCAACTTATTTTTCTTATTATTATGTAAATTTGGCATTCAAGTTTTTAATTCGGATTTTTAAAAATAGTTTTTAAATTTTTTATTTTGTTTTTTCGGATTTTTAAAATATTTTTTTCTTGTGTTTGTTTTTTAAAAAAAAAAATTTTAATGTTACAGTACGAACCCAAGTAAAAATAAAAGTATTGATACCAAGATACATGATTTCACTGTAAAGCTTTTGGATACATTTGTGTTATACACTTACACTTGCACATATAACTCGTGGAACGATGACGAACAATGGACTCTGTTAATGAACAAAAACAGATTGAGAATCAAGATTTCGTCTCTTACTTGTATAACTTCTCGGTCCGAATGCATCTCAAATCCTTGTCAAAAGTAAAGACTTTCCCTGGCAACAATTCGGCAGCCGCAGAGATTCCTCTGTATACTATTCTGGTGGAAACAATCTGTTCCGACCAAAGACCAAACTCCACAAGGTTCCCTTCCATCCACTTTATACTAACCGTCACACCTCCCCTTGCCCTTAGCCCTTTCACAATGCCGTTAGGCCATTTATCTGCTGGAAGTGCCGGGAGCAAATGCAGATCCTTCGTTGTGCTCTGCACTAACATTTCTGCTACTGCTGCTGCGAATCTGCCAAGGAAAAAAAGGTTCATGTATAAGTTTATACTAGCCATCAAATTGTTCTAGTTTTTTGTAAGAACTGATGATTTGCTGTTATGGTTTAGTGCCTTGGTATGTGAATGTAAACATTCCACATATCTTATAGGTAAGCGTTTGCAATAACTTGCTTAACTTACCCAAAATTAGCATCAATCTGGAATGGCGGGTGTGCAGTGAACATGTTACTATACAGTCCTCCTTCATAGTTACGTTCGTTCAACGGATCCACAAGATCAAAAATATGTGCAACCATCCGATATGCGTGCTCGCTATTGTGAAGCCTGGCCCACAAGGCAGCTTTCCAGGTGGTTGACCAGCCTGGTCCTTCCTCTCCTGCATCAATCAGTGGAACATTATATATTGCTCCAACCACAACGATGACATTGCGGAATAGTAATGGGAGAGAAGAAAGAGTCACACAAACCTCTTTTTTTAAGAGTTGCTTCCACGGCTTTAGCAAGTTCTGGAGACTTCTCAACTGTGATTGTGTGACCCGGGAAGAGGCCAAAGAGATGTGAAACATGTCTATGATGTATCTCTGGGTCCTCAAAGTCTTCTGCCCATTCCATAATGGAACCGTCCTTTGATATTCTAGTGGGTGGAAGTTTTGCTTGAGCAGCAATGACTTTTCCGATAAGAGTATCATTTGTTTTTCCCAAAATCTGTTGATAAACCAGAAACCATAAGCTCAGTATCCATGAGGTGATATGATTATTTTCGTTGTTTTTGTTGCTTCATGTTACCTCTGAAGCGGTAACGATATCAGCAAAGACTTCCTTTATAATGGCAATGTCCATGGTTGATGAGTAGCTAACACTAGCAGGTTTGCCATTGGGAGCAGTAAACATATGCTCAGGGGAAGTCGATGGATTGGTCTGGAGAAATCCGTCTTTACCTTTGATCAGCCAGTCCAAAAGAAACGATGTACATCCTTCCAACAATGGATATCCCTTCTTTTTAAGAAATTCCTAGAAATGAATCAACAAGTAAAGGTCGATTAAACATAGTACTGGTTAAAGAAATGATTGGAATCATAGATCTGAGGTCCATACCTTGTCCATTGTGTATGTATAATGTTCCCATGCATGAGTGCAGAGCCAAGCTCCACCCATGGGCCAGAGTGCCCACACTGCCTCACCTCTATCTGGTGAAGTTTTTGCCCATATGTCTGATACTTGATGTGCCACCCAACCGCTTGCTCCGTAGTTCATCTATATCGCGCAACAAAATGATTCTTAGACTAATGTCTCTAGTGATGGAGCACAAATGCATTGTAAAGTTCATCATTAGAAAAAAAAAAAAGATAGAAACTTACTTGTGCTGTCTTGCGGCCATTAATAGCTAAAGCAGACATATAATCGAACAACGGTTCCTGGCATTCCCGGATATTACCAGGAAGAGAATGCCAATAGTTCATCTGGAGATTAATGTTCAGGTGAGGAGCACCACTGCAATACAGCAAAAGTAAAAGAAGTGGAGTCAGTGACATAACAAAGCTATGAAAGTCCAAGAAAAGGAAGTAAGGCGAAAACGCACTCCC